ATCTACAACAGATATAATTTTCAGTAATTTTAAATTTTTTGGATGTTCCAGTTCCTTTAATTAAGCTGGCTCCTCTTTTCTCAACATCCTCCAGTCTATCTTGTTAATATTGATGTGTCCAGGTCAAAATGTGAAGCTGCAGAGATACTTTTCAGCTGCCATGGAGATGTCCTTCAGATGCTTGCAAGACTGTTATGTTTGGAAATGGATTCTCAACAACTTAGGCAACTTTTTTTTTCCTCTATTACATAAGTGTCTTGCTACATGCACAGTTATGGAATATATTAGAATGCCAAAATTATCCAGTTCTTTCTGCAATATTGTATGCCTGGAAAAGATATCTCTGGTGTTGTATTAGACACTTAGACAACATAAGAATGTAACATAAGACATTAAGAACAGCTGTAGCAGGTCAAAACCCTTTTCTAATTTTTGTGCTTTGTTTTAATGGCCTGTAGCACAATGTAAAGGGAAAAAAAAAAAGGTAATTACCAAGAGATCCTCTGGCCAATGAAGGGTTTCTAAGCATTGTGATCCAAATGCAACCATAGGCTCAAGTAGTCCCTAAGCTGCTAATTACCAGAAGCTGAAGGGCATACCAATCTCCTAGGAATTTATCTAATCTCCTTTTGAGCTTGTGGCCTCTAAGATGTCCACTGGAAATTAATTCCACTGTTCTATTTCCACCTTTGTTTAGTCTAAATTTTCTCCTCCAGTCCTTAGGTGGATAAAGTAAGATATAATCTAGAAGATTTATACCACAAAATTTAGAATATTTATAGCCCTGATTTCCTTTTCTGTACCCCCTTTGTGATTGTAGACTCCTCTGTCTCAGAAGACATTGTTCAAGTCTGAATGAATCTTGCTCTAACTCCATATATAATACTGACAGTGCCATGAAATATATATATATATATATAATATGAAGAATTATTTATTCACTAAGCTGATAAATTGGGTAGAAAAATTCTGTTTGCAGAAGCAAGAGGCTTCTTCATTGCTCTAATAGTTGTTGAAATACTGTGCTATTTAATTTATATGAATGAGCAGTTGCTCTCTTTCCACCTCTTTCTTACCCCGTTCATCAAACTTGGCATGTCATCCTAGCTCTGGTATGGCTGTTGGCAGTATATGGGGATAAAGTAAATAACAGGATCACTTATAGTGAATAATAACCCAAAGACCATACATGACAGAGCAGCTTTTAATAGTTCTAAAGCATTCCACAGATTCTGCTCCTCATCTTACAGTTGTGGGTCTCTGGCACAAAAGGGTGATGTGACTTACGAGCTCTTCCAGGCAGACAGCAGAGTTTCTGTACCTGTTCTCAAACTCAGTGCAGTGAAACATATTTTTCACTTCAAAAGTTGCCAAGCACATCCACAGATGAAACAAAGGGGAATGCTTTTCTGAAAAAGAACTGATGATGGTTTGAAAAACTGGGAAGGCTTGATATGAACACTGGCATGTGATTCTCAAGCCCAGGAAATCTGGGCTTTGGATAAAGCCTTGCCACTTTCATAAGAGCAATGGTTGGGTTTCGTCTCTTGGAGAATACTGCAAAACAATTCATTAATTGTTTGTGCAAAGTTGTACAAAGAAGCCAGCGAATGAAAATATACAGTATGCCAATTAGAAGCAGGTTTGTTTTTAAGATTAATAAATTTGCTCTCAGAAAATAAGCCTGTGAAACCAAGCTGCCTGCTGAGAAATGGCCTGAGGAAATTGATAGCCAAGTTTCAATCTAGAAAAATTGCATCTATGCCTTTGTGGCCAAAATATTTCCAAACAACCTGAACAGGTGTGATGTGGTCCAAACAGGGAATAGGTACCCAGGATTGCCAGAATCTAACTTTAGGAAGAACCTGTGAAAGATGACAAGATTTTTGAGTATTTCTTGAGTGCTTGCTCTTGCCTGAGGAGCTTATGGTCCCATTACTGTCATCTTGTTCACTGAAGTAGCACCTTAGTTTCTCCTCTCTAGCAGGACAGGAAATACCATGTGCAGAGTCAGAAGGATTTGATAATGCAGCACCTAATAAAGGGGTTAGGAGCGGAGGCCCAAGGCTGTGAGACATGAGCAAGTGTTGTCTGGGGAGAGCACATGTAAATGCAGTGTCTGTGCTTGTGCTGCTCTGGACTGGGGGAGATGTGCAAGAGCTCGCTCCTAAGGTGTCTCTGTCACATGGCAGATGGAAAATGAAAGTACAGATTGACCTTCTGGGAGAGGGCTCTTTTGGTTTGGATATGATCAACTGGAGAAGTGTGGAGCTGGTAGTGCCCTGGAAATGACCCCTAAGATCTTGTACGGGAGAAGGGACTGAAATGAGCACTATATGGACAAGGGAGTTTTTTCTCTGGATAGGTGGCATATAGAAGAAGCTGCTCCAGAACTAGTGGCAGGAGGTGATCCAAGAAATAATAAAAATAACAGTGATCCTATCCAAGAGCAATTACATTGATTTGCAATAAGAAGAAGGGTACAATAAAGGGTATGAAATTTGGAAACTATGTTAGGGGCTGTAAATTGCATTATGTGGGTGGTTCCAGGTAGTGGTGGTGCTCCAGAGGTTTTCTTATTGATTCCCATTGCAATTGCTTTCTTATTGATTCCCATTGCAGTTGCTTCTCAGACTGCAGTGCCCACTCTGTAGTTCTGGCTGTCATGTAGCCAAAGGCAACTACTATCCCGTGGGTTTGAGGAAAGGAATACCAAGTACTTGGCTGCAAAACCAGTTTTTCCTACTGTGGTAGAAGCATAGTTTTGTTTTCATTGTCTAAAAGAATGCTTGGGATTGATGCAGACTTCTCTACTTCTCTTCCATTTGTACTATTGCTTAGAGGGTGACTAAATTTCTGTTCTAGATAAAGTACATAAGGAAAAACTGCTATGTTTTTCTTTCAGCAATCTCAATCCAGAGGAAAATGCAAATGAAAATGGAATGTCTATGCAGAATGATAACTTTGAAGAGATCATGAACCTGCCTATTGGTTCTAAACCATCCCGGCTGGATGCTATGAACAATGATGGAACCAACAGTCCCGAAATTCCTTTGAATCCAATTCTAGCCTTTGAAGATAAGGGGACTCTTTTGCCTCAGGTAGATAATGTTCAAACACATCAAACAGCAGGTAGGTTTGCTGTGGTTCACTAACACTTGTAATTTGTTGTAATTGACAGAGGTCTGGAGCTTTCAATTAATATAATCTGATTCGTTTAAGCATTTCTAAACTCTATTTTTAAATTTAAGCTCTGTTTAAATTTTAAACAAATTTAAATTACTTGGGAACAGGAGCACATCTCTTTGTAAAGCTATGCATGCCAGGCAAATACTGATGCAGTGCAATGGTGGTGAGACCTTATAGTTTCCTGAATGAAGGCTTCTCACATATGTTTTACTTTCTGCCATTTGAAGTTGCTTGGAAAGGTTTGCCCTCTGCTTTCAAGCAGAAGTGATAGGTGACAGCTGTTGTTCTGACCTTATGATCAGCAATTGGGTTCCAGTACTGCAAGTGCAGTGCTTGACAGGCACATGCAGAAGGGGAGTAACTACTTTTTAAAAACTAATTTTTGAAATTCTGGATGTGCTTTCCTCATCGAGTTCTTACAGGCATCGAGGGATGGTTTTTCAGGACACTGGATTTTTCTGAATTATATCAGAGCTTTTCAAGAATGCTAGGTAAACAAATACTGATTTAGCAAATTAAATGGGATAGCACTGTATTTTTCTCTGGCCTAAAAATGTAAGGAAAATCATCTCACATTAAAATAATTGTATAAGCACGTAACATTTTGAAGAATTGCCACTCTTACCTGTCATGTTTGCCTTCTGTTTTAGAAGTGATCTGATTGTTTCTTCTGAAGAACCAAAGGTGACATGAGCATCTCTGCAGTCAGTGGAGTTTCTTCTATGCTATGAAGGAGTGTTTTATTTTTTCTCTCCAGTTTTTTAAAGATTTCTTGACTGTCTTTTTTGGAAGAACTTTAGTAAAACCAGCAGAAGAAATGAGGGGAATAGACTTGGATCACCATTCTAATAGCTTTCATCACTAGAAAAATCATGCTTCACGTGCGTTACTTAATATGGCTATTTCCAACAAGCTTTTTTTGTTAGTAGATGAATATTTCTGCATTTCTTGAGACACAAGACACTGGAATCTGAAAGTAACGGGCTGATTTGGGTGGTGGGACTGATTCTTTTTTGTTTTTACGAAAGGTGGGTGTTGGTTTAAAAGGCATAATTGTAAAATTGGCAAAGAATCTTTTACACTTTATGGTTCTAATACTTGAAAAATAAATGCCTCATTGCTCTACAAGTAGAGTTAATGAGGTGTTTTATTTAAACCTGTTGGTTTAAATATTATTGCAGAGAATCTAATTATGGGGGCGAACTATAGGCTTCTGTATCAGGTTCTTGTAAATGTAATTCCTACAGGGACATTCTGTAAATTGAGATGTCACTATGATCTTCTCACATTTTCTCTAAAAACACAAAACAAGAAAGGTTTTAAATTGTGAAAATTTGAAAGCGTTATTTTTTCATGGACAAGAGGATAACCTATTGTTCTCCTAGATTATGTATTTATGAGTTTTGCTCAGTACAGAAATAAATAATTTGATTGAATAAATTAGACAAATGTGGTAAAAAAGATACTGCAAACTTGATTTTTTTAGTTGCATCCATATTCACAATACTATAAAAGATGTGTATGCATATGTGCACACACGTGTGCACACACATACAAGGAAATACCTTGTTCTGAGTCCTGTAAATTGCTGCTGTTCCCAATGATGGAAGACTTTTCCTTTGCCTTATCAGACTTTTGAAGACTGTGTGAAACCTGGGATATTTGAGTTTTGGATGATGATGCAGGTTCAGGGATTTTTGGGGTTTGCTCGTTTCAGAGCAAATGGAAAATAGTCATTGTTTGTGCTTTTTTATGTAGTGTGTGGTTTTTATAAAGCAGTGCAGTTTGAGTGAGAAGAGGAGCGATGCAGGTTGCTTTCTCCTTAGTTTGATGCTGATTTCTACTGTCATTCATTTTTCCATACCACACTTTTGGTTGCTGTTGTGCAGAACTGTAAAATATTGCACGTTTTTGTGCTTTGCTAAACAATGCTGTTGGAGGCAGAGCTCACTCTGGGTGTTTGAGTTTGCAGCATCGCTGAAGGCTTGAGGCATTGCTCTCTGAATCAGTAAGAAGATCCTTGGGTAGGGGAAATAGAGGTTCATGGGCTCTAAGCTCCTGCTAACAGAGAATTTACCATTAAGATTCCTGCACTTGCCTTTAGTGAGCACTGAGCAAGGCCTCTAAGAAGCTGTGCAGAAAGTCTGTGCTAGCAGAAGAAATCCTCTGAGACAAAAGCTGAAGAAGTTTTGAAGAAATTTCTGCTGCTGCCAAGTGTTCATCTTATAGAGGAGATGGGATAAAAGCGATGGAACTAAAATGAAAAAGACTTCATTTGCCAGAATATTTATGGAAGGGAAAAACAGCCATTCAGTCAGAGTGCTTTCAATAATAACTTGTGACATGGTAAAATGAATTGAGTTCCTTTCTTGCTTTCTTTAGTTTTCCATGTACATAGCCACAATATTTTGAAGTGTCCAAAATATGTAGTTTTTCTTTAAAACTATATATAGCATGTAAGTACCAAATAAAATTTGTTTGAAATATTTATTTCTACTTACATTTTCATTTTCTTGCATAATTGAAGCAAGAGTTAATCTCTGATGGAAAACTCTTCTTGCTACTTATGGTCTGCTTAAAATTTTCCTTCAGGTTTTCTCTAATTTCTTTGCTAAAAATCAGTATGGAGTCACTTGCAACAAGAAAGAGAGCAATAAAATAGGCAGTTACATTTAGCTTCAGTTTTAAGTCTTAGGATTTATTTAGGATCAGGTTTAAATTGTGCTGATCTTGAGCTATTTAGGATTGGTTATAAATTATGCTAGTCTGTTTTTTGTGAGACTTCAGCACACTTGCTTCACTCTTTGTGGAAAAATGGGCTGGCTTTATTTTTCACATTTACTTTTTTTTTTTTTTTGCTTTGATTTTGGTTTTTTTTTAGCAGGACTGGATTAAAAACAGTTGGTCATTAGTCTTTCCAGATTTGCTTCAAATGAGAGCAAGAATTTCCCATTTCAGGGGCCTGACATACAAAATAAAACCAAGGGAATTGAGAGTAGAAATAGGTGCATGAAATTTTAAAAAAGGATTTAATACTGAATTCTTCAATCTTTTGGTTAAACCTCTTTTAAAGCAAGGAAAACAGTTTCTCTTCTGTTGAGTGTTGTTCCTGACAATAAAATATGGTATGGGAAGAAGACCAGCTCCTCTGCCTGCTGTTTGCAGCTGGTTGTGTTGTTTGTACCACGAGGGGCAAGGTGGAAGTACTCTGTGAGGTAGAAGTAGCAGGTGCAGACAGCTGTTCTGAGGGTTGGGCGGGAGCAACAGCCTTCCCCAGCAGAAAGCTGTGTGCTCTGGGAAGGCTCAGCTCCGTGCTCCTGTCTCCAGAGCACATCAGTGCTCACAGGGATGATGCTCTGTGAGTTATTTCAGTACATCACAACTGCTGCATTGCTCACCATTAGCTCTGTTTGCTTCATGTCTTTTATCTCCTCATTCCTGATGAAGAATCTTTTGTTATTTGCTTTTTTGCTAAGACCTTGAAATAATGTTTGAGATTAAATACCTAAGAATACAGATACAGGACACATTCTAATATCATTACTTAATATTGCACTGCTTCTTTTTGGAAACTGATCTAAAATCACCCATAGAGTTGGTTTGCAGTTTGAGATGTTTTTGTTCCCAGATGTGTCATTCAGCCAGTCCTCTATTTAAGAAAGTCCACCTGCCCAAAGCTGAGCACATGGTTTATCACATGAGATTTCAAAATTGGATTCCTGTCACGGATGAATATTGAAAATGCCATATTGCTTTATCCAGAGTTTCTGTCTACCCTGCACTTTCATAGGTCTTTTTACTGCACTGAATGTGGTTTTGGTTGGTTTTACTTTTTGGTTTGTTTCTTTGTTTGTTTTTGCTTTGTGTTTTTGTTTTTTTTGAGGGGAGGAGCATTGTTTTCTTATGTTTTTCCCCAAACAGTACCATTGGAAAGAACTTGCAGATATTAAAAGAAATCATTATCAAAAATGCCTCCCTCAAGCACCAAAATTACGCTCAGAGATTTAAGCCACATAAAAATGGAACACTGAGCTCTTGACTGACAGAATAACATTCTTAAACTATTTTTTTAATCTCACTTTTATTCAACGTTTGTAACCAGTATCAGCTCTAAAGTGTACGTGCACATAAGAATTATGAGACGGTCAAAAGCACCTCAGAAGACAGTGTGCTGCTTTTGGCTGGGGTAGACTTAATTTTCTTCACAGTAGCTCAGAGGGGGCCATGTTTGGGTTTGTGCTGAAGACAAGGTTGGTAACACAGGGATGTTTTAGTTACTGCTTATCACCACTTGCACAGAGTCTGCCTCTCACACCACCCCACCTGCCTGGGGTTGCATAAGAAGTTGGGAGGGGACAGCTGGGACAGGTGACCCCAGTTGACCATAGAGATGTTCCATACCTCACATTGTCATACTGGATATATAAAGCTGGGGGAAGGAAGAGGAAAAGGGGGATGTTTGAAGGGGGAAGTTACAGTGTGTCTCTTCCCAAGTGACCATTACATATGATGGAACCCAGTTTTCCTGGAGATGGCTGAACATCTGCCTGCCCATGGGAAGTATATATGTAAGAAAATAAGTTGAATTTAAACACAAATACCTTTTTATTGTTCTTTAACTCCATTTAAAATGAAGTCTCAATATCGAAATATAAGAAAAATTCCTAATTGTACCAAATATTTTCACTCAGCCCTTGTTGCAAGTAGCTTTGGGAATAATTTTAACATTTGCAGAACACAGTTCTATACTTAAACACATCTCATGCAAATAATTCATGGTTCCTGCTGTGTTCTGTACTTGGTCTGTGCAACATTTCCTTGCCTTAATGTACCTTTGCTCTTCTGCTGGAGAGTAGTGGCTATAGTGTGGACAAGGATCAGCTGTAAGGCTTCACCCATTCTTGTTTCTTACAAATTTCTTGCACTTTGAGAATTGTCCCTCAGCAGTTACTTTCTGTAGTAAGTTGTTTGTAGTTTTCTACCTTTATAGTATGGGTTGATTAAATTATTTTCTAAAGTCCTTGGCATGTGCTCTGAAATACAGGACATGGAACAGAAACAGAATAAAGATGAATGCAGACCTGCATATGTAAGAGATGCCTCATCAGTGGAATCAGCCTGTTGCATGAATAAAGCCTCATTAATACAGTGCTGGTTTCTCTGAAGGGGGGGGGGGGGGGTGAGGAAACCAAAAACAAACCATGGAAACTTAACCAAGCGTAGCGGGTGTTTTTCAACATGTAGCCATGTCCTCAACACACTTAAGCAGACAGCAAAAGGGTGCAAGGAATTGTGTTTTGACCTGCTCCAGTTCTTGTTATCAGGACATCTCTCTTGTATGACGAAACTGCAAGTAGCAGGAAAATTACAGGAACCAAGGAAAAGAGTTGTTTCCTCTGAAAGTTCAGGCCCTTGGATCTGGTAAGTTTTCATCAGCCATTTAGCTTAAATATTAACTGTCTTCATGGCACATAGCTGCCCTAAGAAGCTCTTGAGTTTCTTCTGTTTGTTGACGAACTTGCTCAAGGAGTTTGGCCATTTGGCCTTTTCTGAATGCTAATGAAAAGTCTGGATCTGAAGAGGAATAATAGATGTTAGGCAACCTGCTAGTTTTTCCTATGTTCTAATGCAGATGTATGGAAAACTTATTTTTCGGGTTAGGTACAGTTGGTTGGTGGTTCTCATTACAGGTAAGGCAGAAAAACCAATACTAATTCAGTTTTCATCCCTACAGCCATTCAAGATTGCTGATAAATTCTCCTGATCCAGATGTATAAATCTCAATTGCCAAATTCAGCCTTATGCAGCAGCGGCCTATCTAGATACAGCAGGGTTTTGGCTCTGGCTCTACATATTTAAAGATATGTGCTATATACAGTTATTACCACATTATAACCCTCATAAGTACTCAACATTTATCCAAAGACAATAATATTATTAGCATAATATTAAGTCATGGACTTTTAAGTATGAAGATGTGAGACTTCCCAGCTTTAATATCAGCTAATCATGCAATTTCCTTAATTGCTTACTTTATCAAAATAAACTAATATCACATTTGCAAAACTTTTAAGTTGGATCTAGTGCCGAAAATTCTTACATAGGATAAAAGCATCTGTTCCTGAAGTCCTGTTTCCCTGCTGTTTTGAACTTTAATTTTAAAGGAAACAAACAAAATCCTCCTGCCTTTATTAGGAGATACTCTTAAAGAGCTACTTAAAAAACACGTAACAGCTATTCTTGAGATTATTCTCTTTTCTTAAGTGAGCAGAGCTTGTCCCCAGAGAAGTTTGCACTGTCAGTGCTTGGACTCGTCTTGGAGGTCTTTTCCAACCCCAATGATTCTGTGATCTGTTACTAAGCAGTGCCTTTTTGCTGCTGACGGGTGCAGGCAGCCTTGGCAGGAAGGACATACCTGCTCGTAGTTTGCAGAGTGTGGAGATGCCCAGCTGCTGAAAACGGACCTCTTGGTGGGTAAGAAAATTCTTGAGGTAGGCTTGAATCTCCCCAATGTGATGCTTCCACAAAAGCATCATTCTTTCTGCATAAATGGGAGAACCACTGGAGATCAGTACGAGCCTTTAAACACGTTGAAAACTGATTTTTGTAACAACATTTATAAGATCAATAATGACTCATCCATCTTCAGCTAAAACCAACATTATTGCAAAGACTGGCAAGGGACTTCGCTGTACTACAGCTTCTGATAATATTGCTGATACTTGAGGTAAAAAGATGAGTGGGCTGCTGTGCTGGGAATCTGTTCCTTGTGCAAGGCGCCTTCTGATTTACAGACTGGTTGGCCAGGTAGGTGAGGCTATCCATGAGATGATTATACTGTTGGATGCTGCTCACTACCTGAGAGAGTCTGCTCTGTTGCAAATCCTCTATGCTGGAAATAATATATTTGCATTTTCCCTTACTGGGGACTCACCACAGATTTCGGTTTTTCTATGTCTAAAATCTAACCATACCTTTCTAGAGAATGTGTCAAGTATCATCTGAACACCTTTTCTTGCAAGTCTTAAAGGCTCTCAGCTGCATGAGACAAGTATATTAAGCATAAAACTTTTCTACAGGTAAAAGTAATTCTCTTTTTTTCTCTCTCATTGAAACTTGAAAAATTTTGGCTACATTCTTAAAACCCACTTTACTTCACTGCTCCTGCTAATTTAGTCTAGAACTATATCATCAGGATTTGGTTCAGTAATAGTTTTTCCTCTTGCTGGTCAGGGAGCAGAGTTAATCTAAAATTTTGGAACACAGCCTCTGCTGTCTGTGGGGGATGCCATCACATTTTACATACTGAGAAAGGTCAAACAGAAAGATGTAACCTTGTCTGAAGTGACCCTTGCCTGAAACATGTTATCATCTCTCCCATGATGAGGAGTATCTTAATGGTCTCCCACCTTCCTACTGAAGTTGTTTGCAAGGACCTCAGAATTGGCTATGGACCAGCCCTGCAGAATAGCAGTTCTTGAAGAAGGCAAAAAAACATGTAAATCAGATCTATGGTCCACTTTCATCCCTGGAGTTTCTCATGCACTCAAGGACTGTTTTATTTCAAGGGTGACTATAGGCATTTGTACTCTAAAAAAATTGGTAGAGACCAAATGAGGGCATGATAGAGGAATATTTAAAGTTGTTCAGTGCCTGACAGTCCTTTGGAAAAAGGCTAATTCCACTCCAGACAGCCATAAGTCTCCTTCAAAGCATAGTTAATCCTGTGTGAGTTACCGTGACTGATCATGTGCTGGATGATGGAGGCAGCATGAAAAGATGGCTCAGGATGTTCGAGTTGGCCAGCCAGTCTTACCAAGCACTTTGTCAAAGGTTCATCCATCCACTGGACCATGTGTAACATGGCTCCTTCTGAAAGGCAGAAAGGTAAGAGAGTAGTCTCTAAATAGGAACTCCAGTGTCAAAGAAATGAAGGTGAGAGGTCTGCCAGAAACTGCTGAAATAGGGAATCCTTTATGCAATTGGAGAAGCAAAGTAAGTGCTGAACTTGGTTAATAAATATGTTTAGGTTGCAAAAAAAGGGTCCTATTTTGAGGTTATGCTCTCAGTAAGGCCATGGATTTGGTTCATATTTTGTTGGCTTTTTGTTCTGCAAAAATGAATAATTTTATGTGCAAGATCCACTCTTAGACTATTGGGCTCAGTCTGTCCAGCAGCTACTGTGCTCTGCTTGCAAAATTAAATGTGTAGCCACCTGCATGGCCATTACACCAGATAAAAGAGATTACTTGTTTGACAGACAGATCCAATGCTGGGGCATGTTGGTACACTCATCCTTTCTGCTTTAAAGAGTGCTGTACCTTTCATGAGTGCCAATTTGGTATCTCTGATAAAATCCCATGTGCAAAAAATGTCAAGATATAGACCTACTTGATATTTTAGTCTAATAGTTTCTGCAAGGATAAAATTATTTCAGCCTGGGAAACTGGGAAATGTTACAAATAGAAGTAGACAGGCCATGTACAGCAGTAAAGTTCAGCGGAAAAAAAATTTAGAGTAAAAAACTTTAAACAGTTGAACAAAAGTGCAGACAATGTATCCTGACATGTATTCATGTATCCTGACAGTGAACTGGATTTTGTTCTTGAAACTTACAACTAAATGATGAATTTAAAAGGAAAGACTTGGCTCTGTGTCCAGCTGTGCTCCAGCTCCTTTTAGAATTAATAAAGGACACGTGCACGTCTCTGATTCAGTCATTCTTGGAGGGTTGCTGCCATACCTTGCTTTGCTAGCTCAGCAAGGCAGGATGTCACATAACGAAGGGAGTCTTCCTGAGTGTCAGTCAAAAGCATGGTCTGGAGGAGACCTTCGACACAGCAGCTCTCAGTGATTCTCTGCCACAAGAGAGAGATTCATGTTTAGCACTTCCATTATGGTTTAGTGTGTCTGGGGGCTTCAGAAGTACTCCTCAGGACTTAGAAGTACTGAGGTGAAACCATCAATAATAGAAATGTCTCCTCCCAGATCTGCCACAACCAGGTGAAAACACCGTGGATTGTTCAGAGATCACCTGTGCTGAGATACATCTTTTATAGACCGAGTTGAAAACAGATAGGAGACTTAGCCTGTCCTGACCTGGACTAAAAGCAAAAAATGAGACCAAGCAATGAGTTCTGAATGAGTCAGCTGGACTGGTTACTACTGAAGTTGCATCATGAAGTCATCAGCTCTCTGGGACACCCTAACAATGGAAGCTACTCATGGCTCCCCAAGTGACCTCTTGATAGAGGTGATAGACAGGTGTCTATCTACAAAAGGGAGGCTCTTTTTCTGATTCTCGTTTTATGCTGCGGTTTTTTAACTTGCTGCTTAGAGGTTCAAGGAGAATACGAAACTACTGCTTTTCACACTCTGTTTCTGTCCTGCTGGCATAAAAATAGGACTGCCTTTTTCCTCTTGTGCCAAGGACTAATGTGTTTTAGGAGGCGTTCCTTAGCATCAGCCCTGGAAACCTGGCACTCCCACTCATGTCTGTGTATTCACTTATGCAGTGAGAGCTTGATGCTCTCACTATTATGAAGCTTTATGAAGGTGAAGCAGCTCCCAGCTGATAACAGGATAAAGTCACAGAATTTTAGTATTTCAAAAAGAAATATTTGTCAAACTTTGAACGGATGGTCTATTTTTATTCCTACTGTGGGCCTTGAGTTGAAGGGAATCTAGTTTCCTGCAAAACTCGATGTCACAGCTATTAGAAATTTATATAATTCTTATATTAGTGAAAAAAACCATAATTTTCCTTCTGGCTGATTTAAATCTCTGGAACTAGCAGTAATTGGATCATGAACAAAGAGAAAAAAAAAGAACTGAGTCTTGAAAAGTGTGTACTAGGAAGTGAGACAAAGCAAAAATGAGGATTTGGTGGGGTTTTTTCCCCTCAAATTAAGTACTACTGGTGGTACTGTTTGATCAAGGTACTCTAAAAGGCAAGGAGAAAGGTAGTACATCCATGCATATGGATTTCGAAGTCAGCAAGAGGGATCTTTATAGCATTTTAGTATAGCTAGTATCTTGAAAAAGAGGTAAAATGTACATCAATAGCTGGGGCTCTGTTTCACAACAAACAGCAGCTGAAGCATGAGAGCCAGGAAATAAAGATTGAGTTCATAACAGACCTCAGATTTTCCTGAATGATTCCTTTAACCAGTATGAAATGTCCTTGCTAGAAGAACTTTTTATACCTATGATGCAGTTAAATTAGGTAACCACATCACTCATAGCAAAAATTAGATATTTCTTATTTTAATTAGCTTTTTTGTATTGTATTGGGAAAATATGAATGAAACTGCCTTTAATTTATGATCCTTTTATTCATAAATTCAATTTTGTGTAAAATATATAGCAAGTTGGCATAAGTTTAATTACCCACAGAATTAATTATTCTTTTTAATGCTGATTTGACATAAACACAATGGCAACCTCACAGGGTATAGTTCAGTGACAAACATTGTATACCTACCTGCCTGTTTTTGGAAAGGTTCAGGTTTTTGATGATGCAAGCAGTATGTCCAACAATCACAGGGTCTGTTTTATGTGCTGCCAGTAACATCCCCAGGCTCTGCAGTAGCTCAGCACATGCCAGAGTGTCCTGAGAAGAGCAACCAGTATCTCAGTTACATCCAATATGGACAACACAACACAGCTTTGCAGTCAGCTATGGAGAAATTGAACTTAGCTCTGCAAGAAGAGCATCAGTTTGCTTATTTAAACTAAGGATGTGGCTGGGTCCAGTGCTGCTTCTCTCAATTATGGTCTGACTATTGAGCACTTGCTATGGAAGGCTGGAGTCTTCAAGGTTGTGTAGTTTATGGTTGTTTCCATCAAATGCCTCACCAGGGCCATTGCTAGTCAGAGGAAGGATGTGTGATCCTGACTGGAAGGAGAGGTTGTCAGAGTCGCTGTGAAAGGCAGAACTACATGGTGAAGTAGCAGCAGCAGTGTGTGCTTGAGTACCCCAGCAATTTACCTGGCTGCAATAATGAGTTGTATGTTTACATCAGTTTGTGATCAGGCACCTCTTCAGTGAACATGTCCTGAACAACATCTTCTTTACACACATTTCTCTGCTGTCTGATGATATTTTAGAGGTACTTTGCTAGGTATTTCTCTGTGAATGTAGTCTTCCTCCAATTACCATTAAATTAATCGAATCACAGAATGGCCTGGGTTGGAAGAGACCTTAAAGATAATCTAGTTCCAAACCCCCTGCCATGGGCAGGAACACCTTCCAGTAGGCCAGGTTGCTAAGATCCCCATCCAACCTGGCCTTAAACACCTCCATGGATCGGGCATCCACAAATTCTCTGGGCAATGTGTTCCAGTGCCTCACCACCCCCACAGTAATTAATTTTTTTCCTAATATCAAATCTAAACCTACTTTCTTTCAGTTTGAAGCCATTGCTCTTGTCCTGTAGTATCAGATTGGAGTCTGGATTACTGAACAGGTAGTTCCCTCAATAACAATATGGATTAAGGGGGCACTGCTGTGTGTAAGAGAAACCTGACTTCAACAGAGTTTATTTTAGGTCTACAGTTAAAAGCAAAATATTTCCTCTTGGGAGTGTTTTCTCTTTCAGTCTCCTTCCCTTAGGAATTTAGGAGTTTTTAATGCAGTTCTTCTGTTTGTTCACAATGAACTGTATGATTTGTACTATTTGGAAACTGAGATGCATTAGCAAGGGAGTTCAATACAAAGCAAATCATTGGTCCTATACACAGCTGCAAAAAAAAAATCACATAATTCTGAAAACTGTGAAATATCAGGATCACTAAAGCTGTGTTGAAAGGCAGATGTCTTTAAAAGTTAGTTTAACTTTATTCTTTCTTTTGCTTAGGTTAAATTGCAAAAGTGTATCTTATTTTCTTTTAATACCAGATGACATTTTCACTTAGCTCATTTTAAGCACTGTCACAACCAGCAATCCAAAAATAAAATAGGCAAGTAAGTGGAAAGGGCAGTTCTATGCCTAAACACAGGGCATTTATAGAATCCTACATGCAGACATGACAGTAAATTTTCCTTAGTCTTATTTTTCGTTTTGTTTAAAGGAAGAAATAATATAGTTTTACATAATCCAATACAATCACCACTGATGACTGTCTTCTGTGCTTTTGGGGCCAAATATCCTCCTTTCTATGTAATCTCTTCAAATATCATACTCATTTTTGATTTGCTACAGCCTGAGAGGACAAAATTTTCTATGGATTATAAAGAAACTTTCTAATATCTCATTACTTCCCTGCCAAGAAATTTTGTTTATTTAGGACCTACATTAGCAAGTGACAGTACTTGAATTTTGCTGAACTTCTTTTTTTGGCTGGAATATGGCTGAGATCCACATTTTGTTTTCTGGCTCAATTTTGCACAGTGCAAGAGAATCACGAGAAAACTGTGAGTAAAAATAGATTGAGTGATTCAGATGGATATTGATCTAACTTCTCCCAAGACTAGAATATTAAAAAAAACCAAAACCTAAAGGCAAGGAAAAAACATTCCAGCAGCAAGTGTGCTTACAGTTGCAATGCTGCACTCATACTCCTTACACAGGGATTTCTTGACAAGGTAAATATTATCCCATTTACCAGTTAGCAACATGGTAAGGCAAAGTTATTTTGTACCTAGAGTCGAGAGTCAGTGACATCATCTGGAATAGACAGACCCTGACTTCCAGATCTTTTGCTCAAGGGAATTTGATTTAAAAGACTGTTTTCTCACAAAGCCTGATTCTTTAGTGTTTCAGGGTTGGACTGTCCTTGGAAAAACTGAATACAATGCCCTCTGCAAGAGGGAAGTTTTCCAGCCCTTGTCGCGAATCCCTGTCAACAGCCTGACCAGGGGATTGCAAAAAGGAGGCTGAAGCACGGCAAGGAGCTCCTGTGAAGCATTCCTGGGGGTTTGCTTCATGGTAACGAAAGGGCAGACGGATTCTGCCCCTTTGTATCCTGGGTAGTATTTGTAATAATTCAAGCATCACTTGACTTGGTTGTAAAGGTTAGCTTTGTTCAGTGGTTTGTTTTCCAACAGTTGTTCCCATGGAGAAGTCCCTTTTTCAGTCACGGAGAATTCAGCCTGAGTTAGAGGAAGAAACATTGAAAAGACTTGTAAAACAGGCCAGAAAAGGCATGGAGATGGGGAGGCAGGATATGAATACAAAGAGGTCAGCCTCTTCTCAGAGTGCCCAGGGCTCGCTTGCACAAAGCAGCAACATTCAGTAGTCAGGGACAGCCATGTTTGCTCACTAAAACAAATTCAGAGATGTAGATACTTCTCACTGGAGAATAAAGTGAGATGCCTTGCTTTCCAGCCTCCTGCTATTGATGCTTTTTCCTTCATGAAGGATGGGCTGTTTCACCACTGGTGTACCAAGGCTGAGTTCACAGTGCCTTTGCTCCCACTGATGCTGACCAGGTCTCTTTGTGGCCAGGGATTTGAAACGCTGGTAAAGACAAGCTTCAGGACCAGGGAGAAAAGGATTTGTGGGTACTCTTTGCTGGGAGAACAAAAAATGTAAACTGTGTTTGGAGACAAGAAAAGCAAAACTGAGTGAGGACCATGTTCCAGCATAATGTCTCATACTGAATAACATCTACTGTGCAAATGGCCTTCAACTAATTTAATGCATTTCAACTGTAAGCTTGTTGAGAGCAAATTGTGTTTTGATTGTATGAGGCAGTTTGACGAGCAGTGAGGATGTTTGATGCTCATGCAGCCACTGTGCCTTGAATAGCTGTGTGCTCTAGTTGCTGCTTCCCAGGCATTGAGCTCACCAATTTTTCCATTCACATCCCAGAGGTAGGGGAGGTGCAATTTTGGTTTGCATACAGACAACTGAACTGTAACACACCAAGCTATCCAAATCCAGAGTAAATTTCCAATCAGGCTGAGTGCATATCAGGCACAAGAAGCACCTAAGGCCACCTGAAGCTATTCAGACCCTGTCACTGTTTGAAGCAATGTGGCAGGAAAAGTTCTCACATATTTTTTCTGTAGGTACCCAACCCCTGACTACCTTCAAATGCTGTTGTTGGCCTAAAACACTTACCAAAACCTTTCACATCTATGTTCTTAAGGATGTCTTTAATTACTGTAAAGAAAAGTTTATTTAAAAACAAGAGTCATCTGTCAATACTTGCCGTAATTTAATTGTAGTCAGACTTCTTCATATGTTTGCTAGTGTTGCACTACTAATGGTGGCATTTACCTTGAACATGGGCAAAAGAATCATTCTGTAACTTGGGACATTAGGATACACAGTCCTGGTGAAAGTCCCAATGCGTTAACTAAAGATAGACAACATTTCAAATTCTGTTAGTCCCCCTTTTTGTTTTGATCCTAATTCAAAATATATCAATATTCTACAAATGCACTTTTGAATAACACTGTTCATATAGGGAGTAATGTATATTTTCCCTTTGTTCTTTACTTATGCACTTTAAATGTGTGTTCTAAATCAGTTTTTCTGCTTTTCAGTGCGTGTAGAAGCTCTGTAGCCAAGAAATAACTTCCTTGGTTGCCCTCATGGTGGCAGTCTCTGATGGTGCTGTGTATGCCCTCCCCCTTGTACACCCCTCTGGAGACCTATGGTCTGGGGACTGAGGGGACTAGAGGGAGTTGCAGGGAGTGCAAGGCATTATCCACATATCCAACGACTCTGACACCCATGTCCCCCTCTGCTCTCTCACTGATCTCTCCTCTGGGTCCCACTCAGCACAAAGATGGCTCGTCAGGTAGCTAATGACAGTGCAGATGCAGTAAACGAAGCCTTGTTATTTTGGGTAGGAGAGAGAAGGGTTGGGAAGTCTCCCAGAGTCTCTGTCATTCTCAAATTGCATTTCATAGGCTGTTTTGCCATAAGAGTGTTACCCCAGGTGGTGGCCAGAACTAGCCTTTCCCCTTTGTTTTTGGGAAATGGCCTCCCATACCTGGTTGGGCGGGTGCTGGGAGAGTATCCAGAGCAGAGCAATGGAGGCACGACGCACATCCTCGCTTCCAGAGGCCAGGAGAGAGCACAGCTTGGGCAGGACGTTCTCAGCAACCATCTCAGCCTGGATGTCCACTGGTGTGGGAAAAAAAAGGAGGTCAGGGGGGTTCAGAGCACTGCAGGAGTAATTCAGGCTCTGACTCAAACAGTTGACTATTGCCTCAAATTAGAGGGGACCTCTCCATCTCTGTGTGATGGGGCAATGCCAGATGTTTGGTTATAAAAATAAATCATTTGTTCTGCTTCCTTTTGCTGAGGGCTTAATACAAGCTTGATGGCAGAATGTAGGCTTGGACACCCTCAGTCTGTCTCTGAACCTCAAAAAAAAAAAAACCAAAACAGATTGAGGGGAATTTTCTGAGTCCATTGCTGGCATAAGGCCAGGTAAGAAGTTGGCAGCTTCTGCTGCACAAACAGAAAGACCTCCCAAGCAGCACCTATCTCACAGAAATATGGTTAGCCAGGAGAGAACCCAGCCATCCCACTGAGTTGTAAAACCCCACTTGCCCCTGCAACCTGCACTAAAAGGCAATACCAGAGCAGCCAGCACATGCACAGGCAGATCTAAAAGGTCAAGCAGACCAGGTGTTTCAAACCTGTCAAGGAGTGGCACAGCACTTCCTTCACTCTCAGCTCCTCTATAATTGTGACTGCTTGAAATTTAAGTACCCCTAAATTTTCGAGATGAATATCTCTACCCTGGAGTCTGGGACTTTAGCACTGAGTGTGCTAGTCCTCTGCCACTATCTCCTGAATATGTCATAGAAATGAACCTTGGACATTTAATAGGGTTTTTTAGGAGGATGACAAATGCATGGGAGAAAATTACATTTAATGATAGACAGAATCATGCCTTGGAGAAGACAGGTGCCCACTCAAGAAGCAATTCCAGGAGACATTCTGTCCTAATTGGGTTTAATGCTTAGGAAACATGGAAAGAAGGAAAGCTTAGCAACTCACTAAGGCTCTGTGCATAAGCACACCTCTGCTGCCTTTCTCACTTTCTCCAGATACTCTTCTTGCTACCTGGGAGCTCTAAAACAAATTTAGTTAGGATATACACTGCGCCTTCCTCTTCCCTTAACATCCAGTTAAAATGTAGAAAATGTCTCTGCTTTTGATAGGAAAGGTTCCCAGCCCACTGTGCTTACTCTGAAAGGAAAAGAGAGATAGAAATAGTGTGGTTTCTTTGTCTCCAAGACATTGCTTACCACTGGTAGCCAAGTTTCTTAGGCAAACACATGCCTGGCTTGAAACCTGCTTGTACCAAAGAGGAAAACAAAAAATTTAAAAATCAGAGAGAAGAAGAAAAAGAGCAGTTTCAGTAATGCATGTTCTTGCCTATTGCACACAAAATAAACAAGACAACACTAGCAAGCTCTTACATTATCTTCAAGAATAAATTTTGGCATGCTTTTTTTTTCAACATTTTGATGAAATTTTTTTCAATCTCCTAGTATCAGTCATTCTATTGTTGAAGAAGAATGGTGTTCAGATGTTGTTTTTATTTTAGAACATCTGATAAATCATAAGAAAATAAAGGGAAAGAAATTGTCCCATTTGCTTTGCTTTTTTTTTACCTCCCCTCTACACAGAATTTCAAGTTCCACAAGGAACTGTGGTTTCTTGAAGTTTCTTTAATGTGGCTTCCAACAAAGCAAAATTTTTGAGATGTCATCCTCAAAGCCATACAGTAAAAGTTCCAGATACCAAAAAGAAAAAAAAAAGTAGCACACCGGATGTGTCAGACAACTTCTGTCACAGCCACAATGATCAAAGACAGAGCCTGGGCAGGGCACTTCTCACATGATGTTTCAAGTTAATAGCATACAGGCTATCCTAGTGTAAAGGAAGTGTCCAGGGCTGTAGAACAACTTTAATAATTTCCCTCTGCTTTCTTCCTACATTGACCTTGTAGAATCTATGTATTTTCTATTATAGGTGTCTTTTCTCCTAGGAAAGATGCTGTGTAGGCACCTGTACAGTAGATGAACAGAATGATGTGAGGCTGAAACTGGAAGCCCAAGTCTATAGCTCTACATGGATGCTTAAGTCTTTTCACAAAGAGAAAGCTACAGCTTTACCTTGTCCACAGAAGAGGATAGGAGAGAGATCAGTGTCCTCAGCAGGAATCTGTCACTGGGTCTCAGCAAGGCTTTGTGGTGCTGAACATTGGCTGCCACGTTGCTCAGGGCAGCGCAGCTGTAATACTGCAAAGAACCAAGAAAAATATGTAGAGAGAGAGGTCAGAGTGGTGACACACTGAAGAGAATAAAAATAAATTGGAGAAATGCTCAGATTTCAAACCAATGGAAATAAAATGCTTTTTCATCTTAAGGTGTTACAGGGTTGACACAACATGCTGTAGCTGCTACAGCAATCCTGCTGCGGCGTGTTGTACATTCTTTAGGACCCTGGCTGTTTGGGAATGTGCTCTGCTGCTGCAAGGACATTGCTGCTGGCATCTAAGTTAAGTCATCTGCATCTACTGTATTATATGCTTACATTGATTTACTCAAGCTGGATGTAGCTATTGCCCTAGCATGCCAAGAGATCATTTCCAAAGGATCTAACCAGTAACGCTAGGGAGGATTACACATATAAAAGTATCTATTACTAGGGAGGTATAATTAGAAGAAACAGGTTGAGCTACAGAGATGGAAATTTTAAGATGAATCTCAGAGAAATCTAAAAATGCTGAAATAGTTTGCAGAAAGCAATTCCAGAGGGTCCATCCCTTCAGACATCTAAAAAAATCTGACTAGTGATAATTAAACTGATGGGGCAAAAGTTCTGTGCTACTCAAAGGACTGAACAAACAAACTGGCAGTGTAAGGTATACAACTCTGATTCCTAGTTTATTTATCAGCATACTTTTGCACTAAGATGAGCTCTCTGCTGAGTGTGCAGATATTTGCAACAACAAGAAAAAGATATTTTCAAATTATCTTCTCAGAATACTTAGTAACATTGCTTAGAGTGGATGATCAAGGCTAGGATGCAAAAAAAAAAAAAAAAAAAAAAAAAACAACCAAACCCAAACAAAAAAACCAAAACCCAAAGGAAAAGACCGATCTGCATCGTGTCTGATGATCTGAAAAACACAAGAAGGTAGCCATGTAACAACCCTGTGCATGCATTAATGTGTGCTGGCAGGAGAAGTTTTGCATCATGAACTTTCTCCTGTGCAGTGAGACAAATTGGGTCTTTTAATATATATTATGTGACTAAGCTGAGTTTCACCAAGATGCTCTCCCATGTTTCTCCACTTCACTAGAGAAACCGTCCCTCCTCTTCCCCCTTTTCATTTCTGCATACTGAGGTTTGTGTGCTCCTTACAGTCATGATGTTCCTGTTTTAAAATCTGACCTATTTTAGTCATACCTGGACTTCTGAGTCAGGAGATTCCAGAAGCAAGGCAAGAACTGGTAGGGCTCCTTCCTTGCATAGGACTTGTTGGATTTTCTCTGCCATTAAAAAGAAAAAGTAAAAGTGTCTTCCCCCTTCCCTCCCTCTCATCTGGAGGCATCTTTCAAAAATGTGCACAGTTCTTGGGTTCTAAAGAGTGCTGATGTTGTCCAAATATATACCAGTCAGTGTGATTGGAGAATATATAATTTGGAACTTGTGTAATGCAGCAGTATGCAGATAGTTTAGTAAAAAGACTACCAAGCTGTCTGATTAAGCTTTTGATGGTTTTATGCTAAAAACTGCTCTGAGAATCTGAATTGCTGGAGAAACTGAAAAGCCTCAGGTATGATCTTCACTTTGATTTCTGTGTTTTAAAAACAAATTATTTAAAATATTCTGAATAATACGAGAAGTGCAATAGCCAACTGTATAAGTTCTTGCTAACTGTTTCCTTTCACAACACAGAGTTCAGAGATGTTACTCGTGACTTTATAGTTTAGCTCTGTGGAATAATGGTATCATCTTGGTAGGTGAAATTTAATGCTGGTTTGTTTCAGAGTTAATTATGGTAGTTTACATATAATTGCAAAGGACCAAGTACTGCTTCTGCTAAAGTTGTTGGCAGATATTCCAGGAGTCTTTAATGTCTGACCTGTGATAATTATACTTAGGATATTCCAGCGCTGAGTTAGTCAGAACAAGCAAAAAGCTTCTAAAGCTCGGTGTTGTTGGATCAGCTCCTAAGATTGCTTTAAAGTACACCAAATGTCCTGCTAATTTTTTAGGCCAAATCATTTCTTTAACAAATGGCTATTTTTTTTTTCTATTTCTTCGACTGATTGTTTAAATATTCAAACACTAACCCCTAGGATTTGAAAATCAAGCTTTTCAACCTGTGGTACCAACATGAATGCCATAGGCAGAGGAAATAACTTGTTGTTCAGATATGCTTTTATTCTTGCCTTAACCTTTAGGTTTATTTTTCTATCAGTGAGTTTTCTTTTGGCAATTTCAGTTAACTGTTAGTCTATAAGTACCTGATTGTGTGAGGTTCAGAATAGCACCAACTGCATTTTGTTGGACTCTGGGATCATATGAACTGGCAAGAGACAGTAGGGGTGTAACTCCTCTAGCAGCACCAATAGCCTCTCGGTTGGACTCTGGAGAAAAGAATCAGAGCAAGAAAGAAAGAAATATTTACTGCTATCTTACTGTGAGCCACAAGCAGGACAAGCAGCAGGACTATCCCTTGGTGTTTCCTTCTCTGATTTCTCTGCATGCTCTTAAAAATTCTGAGAGCTTAACAGGAAGGAAACCAACTCATGACTGTATTAGCCATAAATCACAGCAGGTTCAATGCTTTTGGTTTGTGACTAGGATATTTAAAATATCCTTAAGACCCTTTAAACAAGTTAACAGAGTGTCATACTTTCTTCATATCCGTGGTATGTCTGATCAACCTATTCACAGTGTGATAACCAAAAACTACATCATTAACTGCAGGTAAGGTTTAATTAATTTAGTAGGGTATATTCAGGGCCAATTTCTTTCTTGGAAGGTCCCTGTATTACTCACTTGACATCTAAAAACAGTGCAGAGGTTTCTAAAGACAGAATTTGATTTAACAATTGGAATTTGAAAATATGATGCTTTTTTGAAGTGGTGGTGATTCCTTGCATGGCAATGTATTAAATTGTACAGTTGTATTCAACATTCTGGAGTACAAGGAGAACTCAAAAAAAGGTCTTTACAATCTCTTAGGACTCTTGGATGAAAAACTGGTAAAAAAAAAACCCTATAATACTTCTGTAAAATTAACAATATAAACACAGTTTAAACAATGGCCAGTTTGTCAAAGTTTGCTGAGAGAAACATGAAGCAGACACAGCAAAAAAAAACTAAAGGTATTTGGATGAGATCAGGTCTTCAGATGGTAACTAATTTGGAGGGTTATGAGAACAAAGCTGCTAGTTTTATACCTAAAGTCTATATAGTAGGGAACTGACATACACAGATTAGCCAGGATATTTATTCTAGTTCAGAGTATCAGTTTAATATTCCAAGGCAAGTAATTTTCTGTCTTCCTATGAGTGTATACTCAAGTAAATAACTTTTTTTCTGAAAAAAAAAAAGAGAAAAATAATTGTTCTGGGAAGAGTAATCTATTTAAAATATCTTTTCCATGTGGGAAGCTATTAGTCTGGTGAAACATTATGGTCCCTTTCATAGACAAGCCCTTCACTAATCTAATCTGCCTACATACCATTCTTTTGTTTCCCTCAGTAGAAGCAGAAAGTCTTTTGTATGGCTCCGACTAGTGTGATGCAGACTACTCAGGTGAATAAAAAAGAGAAGTAAAAAGATTAGGAAAGAATTTAGATATCAGTGGTTCCCTTATTATTGTACACAATATACTCCATGAATGTTTGTGAATGTGGAAAAGAACCTCTCATTTGAGAAAAGGGATTATGTACATTTGGACAAAACTTGGACAAATTCTTTCTTCTATCAGATATTGTGCCTGAACACTTGTTTTGCCAGTTTAAGATGACAGACTGGATGGGGAAATCTGTCTCACCAAGACGTGTAACTGCATTGCCATCTCTCTAAGAGATGTGGCAGGCTAGATCATGTTTCTCTCCTGGACCACCTGCTTATCTTAAAAAATGCAGTCCCTCCACTGATACCACTGCAACCACTGACTCCCCTTGGAATGCTTGGAGAAGGAAGCCATGTGTTCAAGATGCTACTCTAAAGTGGGGAAACCAACAACATCTACTTAAGCTGTGTTTGAATAACTCACTAATTTATAACTTCTTTCTTTTCACTCTCTGACACTTGTGTGCTTAAACATTCCCATCAGAACAACTTTAAATGTGCTTTACACTCAGTGCATCCTCCTTGTTTTAGCTTAAAACAGATGTTCAGGCCCACCTAAATCCCCAACATATGAACATTTAGTTCTGTTCTGAAGTACTCTGAGTTCTTATTTCAGAACTGATTACTTTCACTCACTGACTGAAAAACTGTAGATAATTGCAACTATGCATGTGTCCTTTTGCTGTGTGGACAAATGCTGGTACTGGAAAAAACCAACCTTCAAATATTTTTCATCTTAACGGGTTAGTTTGTTCTTCTTATTTTCAGCTCCCTATTGCAGCAGGGAGACAACCCAGTTTACACATGACCTGCAGTAACACTGCTAAACAGTTTCGCTCTGTACATAGTCTTGCATGCTTGTTGCAGCAGAATTAAGACCATTCTTAGATGCAGAATTTTAGTCACCTTAAAGCCATCTAAGGATCTTCCTAATTTGGTTGTGCTTCAATATTTATCTTTTTTTGCATAAATGATCTTCTTGAAGGATATGACTGAACAGGATACTTTTCTCAAGCAGACATTTAAAAATACCAGATTCTGTGAGTTAAAATTAAAATAAACCCCAGAGAATTCTCTCTTGCTTTAGTCTCATTGCTGTGGTATCTAAATATAGTCTGGAAAACAAATAAATGGATCCAGCCCATTTAAACTCTAGTTAAACTGGGACAGAGATCCTCAACACTGATACAATACCAGGCAGCAACCCAGCCTATGCAAGACTGCCTACCTTTATGTACAGCTCTGAAAGCTCCTTGAGTGTTTCACTTGGAGTACTTGTGCTCAGAAGGACACTGGCGCTTAAGGGAGTGTGCAAAGGCATTAGAAGACCACAGGGAATGAAGGTAGCCTGGATCTGCAGTAGCTGAGGGTTCCCTATATTCCAGGTTAGATATCTAGAAGGGTAAGAGTGTCTTCAAGATGAAGTAATATCCTTACGTGCCCGAACAAATCACTTTCTCTGTGGACTGTTTAAAACAGATGAAGGGATATCTCTCTGTAATTTTTAGGGGCTTAGCTCCACTGACCCTCCACAAAGAAAGTCCTTCTAGAGCCAAGTACCTAAAAGTTTAGTGATGCCATGCCTAATTAAGACATTTAAATGAGGCAATTTGCATTCCACACAAAGTAATGTAGTATGTAGAATTCTTAACCCGACAATAATATACAATGCTTAAAAATAAGCTCCTATGGGAAAGTGTTTAAAAACCTGAAAATTAAACAAAGAGGTGGGATAAAATGCAAATCAGCACTTTCATGTGGTTGGATCCTGCTTATCCACTCCTCCTTTGCAACATAAATAAGAAATTAACACTTTCATCATGCTTCCCTCAGCCTTCTGGGACATCGGACTGCAGCTTCCCATGCTGGAGAATGAAGCTGGCTACAGGAAGGGAAACAAATGTGAAAACATGGCTTTTCTACAGACTCATACACAATTTGTACTGGAGAACTACGAGTTTGCACAAAGTAGAGTAAGACAGACTAATATGACAACCTTTCTTTTGGTAACTGTGGCTGAACTTACCTGTCTGGATACCAGGAATATATTTATATCATTATATGAAATATTCATAGTTAAGCAGAAGATGGTGGCAAATGCAAGTCGTACATGATGGATAAAAAACTGACTGAAAGCAAACTGGCAGCAAGTTTTGCTGAATGGAAATGACCACCTGGGAAGAGGCTACAAATGGAATTCCATGAGGGCTAGGCTGTATTTGATTTGAACCAGAGACTTTAAACAAAGATGTGAGTGTAGAATTGTCAATGCAGTGGAAGACCAGAATACCTTACAAAGAACAGACAAGTTAGAATACTGAAACAATGGAAACAGAATGAAACCTGTACAAAATGCAGGGATGTGCACTTGGAAGCATTTGTGATATAGAGCTTTGATTACTTGGTATCTCCTGGAAATAGCAGCAGAGGAGGAGCAAGACTAAGTAATTGTCAGCTGTAGGATGACAGCATCATCATGGCACAATCACCAAACCTGCAAGTGTTACCATGACATGTACCACAAAACATATTTCTGTATGTGCCACAATAAATGGCACAGGTGAGACCCCAGCTGAAGTACTGCACATTTCTGGTGACTTCTCTTTCAGAAGAGATGAATCCAAAATGGAATTCCTGCAGCATTTATCTATATCTTGGCACTGTAACAATGCCTGAGGCCTGTGGTATCATGATACAGCACATGCAAATCCTATGTTCCATTCCTGGAACATATTATTTACACCCGGAAGGACTCTGAAGATTAATGGAGAGTCTCACTTACAAGAGGAGTCTTAAAAGACCTTGGCTTTCTCAGTCTAGTAAAATGAAGGAGCCTCATCAGCACAGGCATCAGAGAGACAGAACTCCTGAAGCAAAAGCCAATGTAGACATTAATTAAGATAAGCTAGTCATGAATACATTTAGGATGAAAATCAGAAAAATACTTGTAATCATAAGAGCACAAAGGTCAGAAACACTGAGAGAAATAACTGGAATGTCAGGAGGTTGAATTTATAATGTGGGAATAATAAAACTTGTTGTTGTATCTTATGACTCTTAAACCAATTGCAAATATGTTGTTTCATCTTAAAATATGATGGAAGAGTTGAATGAATTCACAGCAGAAGATAAAGGCAAAGAGAACACTCACCCGAAACTGCCAAAGTCATGATGCAGGCACAGGAATTACACTGGACAGTGGGATCCTCTGATTCAAGCAGATCCAAAATTGGCTCAAGTAAACCCATTTGGACAACTAATTCTTTGTCAACTATTCAAAAATTCAAGAAAAAATGGACAAATATAAAAAAGTAAGCAGTTTGTGATTTTGTGGAAAGAATACATCATTCATTGACTGCTTTGGAAATCTACATTATGATTATACAAAATAGACCTAAGATAGAAACAGCCAGAAAGCCACTCACATTCCCTAGCTGGGTTTGCTTAATTCTCCTTCAGATGCATGAAAAAGTGTAACAGATGTTTGGAGCTGTTAGGCCAGAAGGTCCCAAATCAGATTAATTTTGGCAAGAGCTTTCCAATAGGCTCACAGCTTACTCAGCAACTCCCCCACCCTTTCTTTTCGTTCTGAGGTCTACCCTTTAAATATTTTTTTTTTCTTTGTAAATAGTGACATGATATTATTTGCAGCAAAATTCTTAAAAAAAGAAAATAAGAAGAAAGTCAGCTTCACTGAAGACTGACCCTGTCTTTTGTTATTATGGGACTGCAGGATGGAATTCTTGTGGCCTGGGTGCCCAGGAGTGCAGTAGTAGATGCAACAAGGACTTTGTTGATGAGGTGTGGCATGTTCATGCCCTGTCCATCGACATAAACTTTATTAGGAAGTTATTCCTCTGCATCTCCCAGATTCTATCTCAAGTCTGTTTTCCCCTTTAATTACAGAAGCAAGTGAATTATACTAAGCATTTAAACTTTTTTTTTTTTTTTCTCTGCAAGCAATGTAAGACTAAGGTCCAGTTCATAAATAACCAGAAAATTAGCACTGTCTCATACACAGAGTTTATTTCTATTAGCTATATCCATTGTTTGAAAGGAAAAATGTCTGTAGATCTAAGAATGAGACTAGAATTCTCACACTGGCCTGGAAATAACTTATCAGCCTTTGCACACAGATCCAAGAACTCATGTCACATTTTATATAATCTAGCTGGAGAGATCTGATCTATCTTGGTGCTACCAGAAGCTACGTATCTTGCAGTCAGAATCAGATTCACACTTGTCCTATCAGGAACACAAAAAAAGGAATCTATATTTGTGTAGAAGTGCCCCCCTTCTGTCTGAGTGGCTGAACAGACACTTCTTCACCTGAAGGGAGATGTGTCATTAATTACTCACTATTTCCTTCCAGCAGGAAGTTGACAAGGGACAAGGAAGACATCTGCTGCACCTCCAAGTCAGCAGAACGTAGTAAGGCATAGAAGGGTTCCAGATGCTCCACAGGCAGGGGGATGCTCACTGCAAGAGTGAGAGGAAATATTGTCCCATTGTTCATCACAGTCACATTTTTCCTTTGATGGACTTAAGCATGAGGTGCTCCCTCAGGGCTGGATACAGGATGAATGGTATTCACCTTCTTTAAAATTCCACTGCTACTAGCAAACAGGACAAGTTTCCTGAAGAGGTTTTGACTACTCAGCTACTTCAAAAACATCATGGGAAGGGAAGCAGTGTGCCTTGCTACCAAACAAGTCATTCTGCCTCACAGCAGCTCCTTGCGTTGTGGCTACCAGCACTTTTTATCCAGCAGATAATACATGGGTATTATAAGTGACAGAATAATCTCTTTGAAGTAAAATGAAAATAAACAAATAAATAAATTGCAACCTGCTTATTGCTAGTATTTTTACCTTTTTATAGAATTCAAACTCTTGCTGATATTTTATTTTAGGATATCTAGGCTGGCTCCTAACTACTAACAAGCTACCTCAAGAGCCAAGTGCTCCCACAGAATATTTGGAACAAAGAAGAAGGTGTCCTTCATAAATTTCTACTACAATCTATCTTCTGAAGCTTTGTCCTCTTTTGTATATAATTTATAACATTAACTGATCACTATGTCCATTTCCTTTCACCATATTTTGACTGTGATGCTTTCAGGAGATTCAGTATACACTAACTTTAAATACTTTGGGTTCTGCCGAGTTTCACATAAGTATAACAATTTCATAAGTCTTTTATGATCATAAGAGATATCTTCTTACAGCAAAACCCAGAACTGACTCTGCCTACATGACAATGACAGTTTTCTATCTTCCTTGGCAAAAACATGGCATGAAGGCAAAGAAAAAAGCCAATTTGTTTAATGAATCAAAAGGAGTTTCATAGTTTGAAATAATATTTTTATTTATGATTACATGAACATTTTCTAATGCTTACTGAGATAACTTACTGTGCTGGCTCATATGCAAGTAATAGAGGGCAGCCGACTGCTGTAAACCTGGGTTTTCTGAAAAGGATAAGGTCTTCAAGGCTTCCAAAGGGTCCTTTCCCAGTGGACACATTTCAAAATCTAAAGATGAAAAATGACAGCATGGGCTCAATTACATCTGTAAAGGGTTAGTTTACAAAAAGAAAATTTAAAGCAAACCAAACACATAAGAATTTTTGTACTGCAACAACTCCATAAAGCCCATCTATCTTTATTCATGTTTCCATGAGCAGAAGCAATAGATGAACTGGGTATAACCTGTCCTTGGCAATGCCTCTTGTAAAGCTCACAAAGCTAGGACTGGAAACAAGATAAATTATAACCTTTAGACACTTTTATGCTATCTATATAAATGCAGGTGTTCTTGTGCGCCACAAAAAATCTTTATTTTTTTCTGAATCTTTGTTAAAACACTGAACATGGTGTTCTTAGTTAAGTAAGAGTATATATTTCTAATATATTTTGTATTTCTATATATATTTATAAGTAAAGAAAGGGTATCTATTTCTAATTAACCACATCTGAAGTTCACTGTGCTTCCTGTCCTGGGTATTGAAATACAGGATTTAAAGGAACAGCAACGTGGACTGCAAACAGGCTTGCCTCAGGCTTAAATTTCTAGCATGAGCCTACCTGTTCTCGAGTATGATAGCTCCCCTATGAATAAACCAGATGTTTAACAACAGTCATCAAGCAATAGCAGTCATGCATGACTTCTGTAAGTCACTGTATAATATAATATGTGGAATGGAGCAGCAGAGAGGAAAAGGAAAGGGACATTGAATGAATGAACAGAGTTAAAAAGGTAATGTATGATTGATCAACTGGTGGAGCACACAATTATAAAATATATTTTCAGGCAATAGATTAAAGCTATGCAATAATGATTGAGATATCTCTGTGAAAAATACCTAGCTACTTTACCTCCCATGGGACAAAGAAATGTGAGGGATGTGAGGGGCATGAGTTTTCATGCCTAGCTGCAAAACACAGACAATATCTCAAGCCATTAGAAGCTGCTGACATGTCAAACTCCTATCCTCAGGATTAGGTGAGCTTCACAGAACTGCTTCATATAAAGATCATTTTAAAAAATAATTAGTAGTATACACAAAGGGAAGGACTTGCCTGTGTGTGCAAGGTTTTAGACCAAAAAAAAAAAAAAACCCACAAAACAAAACAAAAAAAAACCACACCAACCAAACAAAAAAATCTCTTCATGTGGTTTTATTCTGTTCGTTTCACTATCTGAACCTGAGTCTATCTGATTCTTCTGAATGTGGTTTTGTTGTCAAAATTTTCACCTGCTTAAAATATCAAAATTTGCATCTGGCTAACAGATGAGTGTGATGATCAACCATGAAGTCTATCCTTGCACCCAAATTGTCCAAACACTGTCTTTTTGCTTATTATATTTTGTTTATATTTTATTTTGTTCATATTTATTATATTTTTTAATTATATTTTTTTTTGAGGATAGGCTTGCTTCCTCTTGGAATAAATACACAGGTGAGTGTTAGAGTAAGAGGGAGGGGTCTTGGTTTTCTTTGTGAGGCTTCCTTGCCCCCATTTGTCTAGGCAGTAAAATTTGGCCATCCAGAGAACCAGAACCTTGGTTCTGCTTCCTGGGTGCTGTATGTGTCCTGTCATGGGCAATGGGACCTCCCTGAAAACCCTCATTGTCATCTGTGTACTGCTGCCAAAGAAGCTCTAGGCTTCCTGCTGCTGTACCCCAGCTCCCATGGATCCAAGACAGACCAGACTTCTGAAGACTGATCTTAGAGAGGAAAGGATCTCTCAAGAAAACACACACTTAGTCTTTTCAGGGAGCACCAGTGGCTGCTAAAAGGGGCCATTCTGGCATCCCCTTCATTACATCTCATCCATCAGCTGTGTGGGCATACTGCCAAGACAGTCTGCTATAGAGTCAGGAGCATGCTAGACTTTGGAAGAGAAGGTCCAGCCCTGGAAGACCTCCACTGTGTAAAAAGCTGAAAGATCTGTCTCCATTCTGGATATGAATGACAAGATTTAAACCAGTGCCAAAGGTGCAACAAACAGTGAACCTTACCAGCAGCACAGAACTAACCAGCTAATACCAACTGAGGCTAATCCACACATGTTCCCAACAACAATAGTCAAGCAATTATTCCAAATCTGTTCCATTTCAACAGATCATTGAAATGACAGATCATTTCAAACAGCATTAACCATGTCACATCAAGGAAAAGTGTCTCTCCTGGTTCCCCTTACAAAATTGTTTCATGTTATCAAAAAGACAAGTAAATGAATAGTAGTTCCATACCCTTCACACAAATGAAAGTAGGGGACTATGCAATTTTGTGTAGTAGCTTTAACCCAAAGCTGTTAAACACAAAGTATACCAAATTAGTTGTGAGAGAAAGCAAAACCAAACAAGCAATGACCCCTTTATCTTGAGATAAGGACTATTTTTAGATTGGACAACTGACAAAATACACTCATTCAAGACAACTGCAGAAGTGAAATAAAAAAACAAGTTTTTCTATTGATATTGTATTCTAGGACAGGACAAAGAGGATATCAAAAAGAAATAGATGGGAATTAGGCAGATAACCTGTAAAGCAAAGGAGATAGATGAAGAGTTATGGATCTACTTTGATTCAAGGAGAATCCCATGAATGAGATTAAGCCTGATGTCTAAAATATTTGCACAAAAGCACAGTTGCTTGGAATCCTGAGAGCTCAATGCAGCTTGTTTCAGGGTGACGTTGATCTTCTCCATGTATAGCCCAGACATTTCTAGCTAAGTCCCAGTGTTCAACCAACACAGAGGTGCACAACTGTGCACATCACACTGTGATCTGCCCACTCACAGCTCAGCACTCACATGTCATCCGGTCTTATCAAAGCCTATGTTCAATTTTGTCAGTTCCTTTTGACTGACTTCAAAAAAGTAACTTTAATTTCTAGAAGGACACACTTTTATGAAACACATTACATGGGTTATATATTAACAGTAGCAACAGAGCAAGAAAGTGATTCACCACTTCTACCTAGATCCAACTTGGTGTCCTGTACACAAAGAAAATGCTCTGTAGCTCTGGCATTTCCTCATCATCACTGAGCTGCTCAATGCCATATCACAGCAGATCAGCTAGCAATTTGCTTTCAATCAATAAAATTAATCCCCTTGCTCTTTCACAATCCTTTAGAAAAATACAAGTCTTCTTACCTGTTTCAATATGCTGCAGAAACTCCTGTGCTGTCACTCTCTCATGAGGCTGTAGGATGGGCTTGTACAGCTGTCCGTTTTTAGAGCTGTTTTGTTTTAAGCAGGAACATTTGCTTATCAGAATTAAGCATTCCTTGATGCCTTGCACCAAGTCAGAGGACATCCTCTGAACAAAGCCTATGAAGTCCCGGAGGAGCTGCATGCATCGTCCACATAGCTGACCCATTCTTGTTCCAACAGCAGCACAAAGCAAGAAAAAAAGGAAGGAGATGGAAACAAAAGCTTCTTCTCAATTTTTCTGCTTTTTGCACTAGCTTTCCTCCTCACTGTTTGCTCTGTCTTACAGATATTAACACCACACCATGCGCAGTTGCTGTAAGGCAGACAGACTTCTATGTCCAAAAAAATACATTTCACAAGGCAAATCTCCTAAAGTTCATAAATTATTATTTACAATGAGTGCACTGGAGACACATCTTCCTTTCACTTCAAGAGAAATAAGATAATTACCTAAACACATTTCATAGAGAACAAATGGAGTTTAGGTCATGGAGGATCCACCAAAGCCTGTATGAGTCTAGAAAAACTCTGGGATAAGGGAAAATACAACCTGTTTTTGTAAGGCAGCTTTCCACATGAAAGGTAGGCACCACCTTGTCTGCATGTTGACAAGCTGCAGCTACCAATTGGAGGAAGATGAAAAAAAAAAAAAAGAGCAAGTGAACAGGTTTTTCCAGTTTTTGCAGAAGCACAGATCAGAACAAAGGAGCTGTTGGACAAACAACTCACAACTCGGCCACCTGAGACTTTGCAAATCAGCAAGAATAGAAAACAGGGAAAAAAAAAAAAAAAAAGACAGTGGCAAAATGAATTTAGCACCATTTTCTTCCTATCAAGCCAGTCCTGCTGAGCTGAGTGGACTGGATAAGTTAGCAATGGGAGTATGATGCAAAAATTATCTGCTGTTTTCATGCAGAAAGAGGTAGTAAAAGGAAAATGTTCAGTTCTCCTTTTGCTTAATTCACGTCTAGTGCATGTGCCCACCCTTGGCTGAAGAGTTTTACAAATGACCATGCTTTAATTCTTGCAGCATGAGGTGATATTTGTAATATTGAGGAGTCCAGTAAAAATTGGTTTAATTCACAGCCACCTTAATTAGGGATCCTGTAGGTATGGGTCTGCTGAAAGTTAATCACTTTTTTTAACTTCTTATTCATAGATTTGGTGGATTTGTTCTGATGATTGCATTTGATACATTTATTGGTAAGTTTTTACCTCTGTCCTTTAATGAATCTTTATTTTCTAAATAAATCATGTTTGAAAAGCATCTCTTTGTTCTACACCCATCTCCAAACCCTCATGAACAGACTTACCCAAATTCATCCGGTCTGTCCAGCAACTGCTGTTTTTTATCTTGATGTAATTTTCTTAATCACAAATACCACTTGTCACAAATAAGCCTACCTACACTACTAACCCAAAAGATATGACACTTTTAATACAGAATGCAATTCATTACAAAGAATTGTGATTTTGAGTTTTCTGGCTACTTCCTTGACCAGCTCTGCAAATCCACTGAGTTCTGATCTCTGGCTTCTTAATGTTATCAAAAGCAGGGCTCGTATGTCTAATTTCTAATCATGTATTCTGGATCCTTCAGTAGGGGTCCCAAAGAATAGGGAACCCATGTGATTACCAGGTCCTACTTCTGCCACCATTTGCTCTTCACCTGTGTTCATCATCTTCCAGCCTTCAGCTTTCATCCTAAAAGCCTGTCACCCATCACAAGCTCCTTCTCTCTCTTGCTCTGTGCTGTCTAATAAACTGTAATGTTTAATTGTGAGGTTCTTTAAAGGTGGCTTGAATTGTACTGCACTGAGATGAGAAAACAACAGGACTGTTCCAATGAAACATTTGCAAGTAATGACTGCATTTCTGTATGCTCTTACTGAACATTTCAAAAGGTACTGTGAACACTAAAACAGCTTTCCAATGCATCTGCAAAGAAGATATTCCCAAAATGGTTTAAAAACAAGTTTCAGAGGCGCCAAGTTCTTACAACTCTGTTTTAGATAAGTGGGAGTTAAATAAATGCATGACACCTGAAAATCAGGCAATAATTTACCTGAAGGCATAAAACTCAGGTGTTCTGATACATAGTTGGATGACTCAGTCAGGCAATTGTTCTTTGATTTGAAACGAATACTTGAAAGCCAGTGTGGAAGGCTGGTTTACAGATCTTCAAACATACTCTGAAATCACAACAGCTACTATAAAGATAAGGGTTAAAACTATTATACCTTGAAAAGTTTCCTTATTAATTGAATAAAATGTCAGCTCAAGTTTGTAGAAGAGGAAAAAAAATAGTAGTACTACAATAACGTTAGACTATTTTTGCTTTTATTCTTGTAGAGAACATGCTTCAAATAGCAAATATCCCACACTCGACATCTTGATTTTTGTCCCTAAAAGGAAAAAAAAAAAAAAATCTATACCACACTCAACATCTTGATTTTTGTCTCTAAAAGGAAAAAAAAAAAAAATCTGTTCCATCATACAGTGTTAAAAAAGCCCTTCCAAACCATTTCCATTCAGTTTGTGTGCAAAAGAGACTGCCAAGCAGTAACCTTACTGTGTGAAGGCTGTTTGGAATTCTGTATAAATGCATTTGGAAGTTTAAATCTATTTGCCAAAAAAAACAGATGAATTCTGTAGCTAAACAGTATTTTCAACAGAAAGCTTCCACTGGTCCAGCATTTAATCTGGCGTATAGCTTCTCTGCAAATGATAGAAAATACTGCTTTTGGGCACAAATCCTTAAGCACCTGGCACTCACAGTAGGTATTCAAAAATAGAAAATGTAAAAAAAATATACTTCGTAATCTACCATTTTGCTTATGCAGCATGCCACTGCTTCAACTGCTTAAGAGAAATTCTCTTATCCAGTTTGCAATGGTGCATAACTTTTGATTGCTCAGAAGTTGTCTGTCACTGGAGAGATGTACATAAATACTCTTTCTACTCCTCTTTCATACATGACCTAGGGCCTCTTCATGCTATCAGGCCCCCAAACGCCCTCAGGCTCTGACATAAATATTCGGGGGGAAAAACCTCAACTTTATTTGAGCTATGGTAGTAAACTTTTTGTTCCTGAGTCTGGATTTTAAAAATACTGTTATCCTTGTGGTTTTAATCAATGGAAAAAGGATTTTTGTAGAGTGTAGGGGAGAGGCAGTGATTGAAAACTTGTGTGGTTGTATTTGACTTGTGTGCCAGTCAAATAAGAAAAGAGGTACTTAAAAAGCAGTAAATTGAAAGAATATACTCACATTACTCAAGAATCCAAAACTCTTAAGAAATCTAAGTAATTAAATTTGCATTTTATAAATTTGTCCCATGTAATTTTTTTATTGTATCTTATACACATTTCTTTCATCTTCTCTTACCTTCCTGTTCATCAGTCCGGAAAGCACCATACACTTTAGAAAGATGCACAATGGCTGTACATTTGCTGCTTATTTAGCAACAGATTTGATTCAAAAGGTTGTAGCTTCCCTAAGGCCTAGCAGGTCTTCATTGTCCCCATGCTTGTAGTTGAGACCTCCTCACATGTAGTAATTCAGTACTCTTTAAACTGGATCTATGAAATTTTGTGACTATAAAATAGCAACAGAACATTATCAAAAAAATCAAAGTACTTAAGTCCTCAAAATGGACCTACCACTAACAGAATAGTAGAATAAAATAAAGATTAAAAAAAAAAAAAGAAAGATTGGGAAAGAACAATTGTAAATTCTGAGTCTAATGTGTGCAATATAGATTACAACTCAGCTCTTATATATATATGCACATATATATACATATATGGTGTATATGGTATGTGTATATATATATATATATACAAAATACAGACAATATATATAAAATCTACACGTGTGTAGGTGTGTGTGTGTTCACTCTTATGAATTCAGGAGTTCAGCTGAATATAAACAGACCATAGCCATTAAAGCAGGGAGGAAGCCAGATGTGAGGACTTGATAGATGCAGATTTGTGAAAATCTGCCAGAGGTTACTTCATTGCATAGCTAGGCAGAGCTTTATGTGCATTCAATGCAATTTCTGTTGGGTTTAAAGGAAGCTGTTCTCACTGCATCTAATTCCTTGGCTGAGATATTTGCCCATCCTCCTTCAGAGGGAGAGTGCCATCTACTGAAGCATTCCTTTACACTGCTCCCTTGAGCCTTGTCCCACTCACGGATTGACAAAATCCATTCAAAGGGGTTGTAAAATTGAACAAGGTTTTAAAAGGAAAAGCGGCTGCTATAGACATGAATCTCTGCTGTAAAGTTCCAGCTGCATGTTAAGAACCAGGCCAAAGATGGTAAATACAACCACTGACTTGCACAAGCTTATGCTCTAGCTTTTGAAGAGATTAAAGACAATTTCACTCTGGTGTTTCTTAATTCCTAAGAAATCCTTGGAACTGAGTTTACATTACCATTTTGTAACTCTTAGGAGTGGCATTCCCTGATTGACAATCCAGTTTCACTGCTGAGTATCAACCATGGACTTTCTGTGTTAGTGCTCACAAGATGTACAACTAGTCAGCCTACTTACTGAACAGTAAGAACACCTGATAACAGTCACCAAGAGTCTGGCTTGAGCCAGTGATGACACAGTATTATTGTGATGCTTTGTCTTTATGTATTTTCCCATTGTCTTGAGCTTCATGTTTCATTGTAAATTTTCTGGACTGCTGCTGTATTCAAATAAAGCAGCAGTTTGTGTCATGCCCAGAGCTACTGTCTCCTGTGATAATAATAAGCATAAAATTGAAATATTTTTGGTATTTTTATTGCTTTGCAGCAAAAGACAGTATCTCTAAAATATCAAAGGCAGCTTAGAGGTACCCATGTACCTTAGAAGTTTGAACAAATTGTATAAAAAGAAAGTTAAATTTTTCAACGTAAATTACCACACAAAGTCATGGAGTCAGAGGAGAGGGAAACCTGTCAGGTTGTATTTCATGTGAATACCCTTAGAAAATCACTGGTTTGATGTATTTCAAAGCACAGGCGCCTGTCCTGATGCTTTTGCTACCAAGAGGCTCCACTGAAGAATCACACAGCCCATAGCTCAAATGTCACATTAAGCAAGACGAGGAGTGAACAAAACTTTGAAAAAGTTTTGCATTATAGTTTGATTTTTCCATCTGGGCACATAGCATGTTGTTGTAAACACAACAGAGAACTGAAAGAGTTGAAGTTCTTCTGTCCCAATAAAATACATCCCACGTATCTTATATCAGTTTATGTCCCACAAATCTTTGTTGGTGACAGTGGGATTGAGCACACTCTCAGCAAGTTTTCCAACAACACCAAGTTGAGAGGTGTGGTCAGCACACCGGATGGAAGGAATGCCTTCCAGAGGGACCAGGACAGGCCTGAGGTGGGCCTGTATGAGCCTTATGAGGTTCAACAGGGCTGAGTGCAAGGCGCTACTCCTGGATTGCGACAATCCCAAACACGAGCACAGGCAGGCAGAGAATGGATTGAGAGCAGCCCTGAGGAGAAGAACTTGGGGGTGAGAGGTTAGACATGAGCCAGCTATGAAAGCTCACAGCACGCAAAGCCAGTCGTGTTCTAAGCTGCATCCCAAGCAGCATGGAAGTAGGATGAGACAGGCAATTCTGCCCCTCTGCTCTGTGAGACCCCACCTGCAGTGCTGTATCCAGATCTGGGCCCCAACACGACAAGGACATGGACCTGCTCAAGCAAGTCCAGAGGACCAGAGGGCTGGAGCACCTCTCCTGTGAAGGCAGCTGAGAGAGCTGGGGTAGTTCTCTCAGGAGATAAGGGAGCTCTGAGATCA